CTGCAGGGCAGGCGAAACGTTTCGATAATGATGATGCCCAACTGTTTGCACATGTCTTACCTTTGTTTGAGACACAGGTAGCATGTGGGGGTAGACAACCGTCCAAATAGGTGCTAGTCTCCTGTCGTGTGAGTGACAAGAAGCTGGTTGGTAGACAGCAACCATCCAAGGAGGTGGTACCTTCCTGTGACGAGTGTGAAATGGAAGCCTGTTAAATGTTGTGTACTCTGTCTCATGAACACGTAAGATGACAAGTAAATCGTAACAAATTTCTATACTCTTACTATACTTCACTTCCCTATATATTTTTCTTATATATTTCTTCACTCGTCTACTTATTTACGTGTTTATTTCTTCACATATGTACTTTTGTGCTCCTCTGTTCACTTTTCTACCTCTTCATTTGTCCACTTATTGTATTTGTTCACTCTTCCCCTTGCTATTCTCGGCTAGACGGTGGTCATACCTTACCCTCACATTGGTGTTGCTCATGTGTGAGGTGACAGGCGTCTCCCACGTCTGATAGCAACAACAAGTATGTGGAATTATTGGCCCTCACATTTCCAGCATTCCTTCAAAAGCCTTCAGCACTCGGAGAGGTATTTGAAGCGTCTCTTGAGGAGAGTCGGGATGCTCGCGCCGCCAGCTCACCAAAGGGAACTTTCCGATGGGAATAAGATGTCAGAGATGTAGATGGTAGGTAAGAGTGGATGGGTAGTACAGCATCTTTGAAGAAATACGTCTTGTACGAGATGATGTTATTGAGAGAGCATTTCGCTCTGTGTGGAGGCTTTTTGAATCATGATTCTACATAGGGCGAAACGATGGAGGCTTAATCTGAAACGTGTGTCTGCCCTTCCTTGTCCGCTGCACGATGTTTACATCCAGCCTGACCACTTACCTGTCATCAGCTGACACTGATCCCTTAGGACACACTTGGCCTGTTTGCTGACGAAGGAAGTACCGCCGCTTCAGCTTCTTGGAAACGACTGTCGGCAAAGCTCTGTGTCTAACACTACTCACGAACTGATTTAGAGTCGGAAAAATCGACAAAGGTTTTGGTTGGCGTTGAAGGTTTCAATTAAACGTGTAGTCGACAGGCTTTAAACCCTGTCAACCAACCACTTAAACCACCAGATGGTGCATGATACTTCCAATTAAAGCAGGGATTCGGTTACACTAAAAGATAACTCAGTGAGTGTAAGAGGACCCGGATTCTTCATCACTGTTCGTAGCTGTGTTCTAGGGGGAAGTTGACAAGTTTAAAGTCAAATGCTGATCAACCGAGCTGCTGCAGTGCGTACTGTGGACTGGATGCAGTCAGCACTGACAGCTTGGTTGATTGGGCCAGCAACAGGGAGGCCTGGTCCGGCACCCTGGGCGCGGGGGCGGTGACCCCCGAAATCGTTCTTAAGGTAACCTCTAAGTTAAGGTGCTCACCAGCAGTACTAGATAACACCAGGTGCTATACTTGTAGTAGATTTTTGACCCCACCACCACCACCACTACCACCACCACCACAACCATTAACCCCCCCTTCCTCCCCCCCGGGTGAGTACCTCATATACAGCACTCGCTAAACATTTGACTGGATATATTAAAGCCGACTATTGCAAATAGATTCACACAGCAATATAATACCAACTTGTGCAACTGCATTATTAATGTGATCATGATTCTCACTGAGGTGTCGCGGGGAGAGGCAGTACCCAGTGTTGCTGTCAGTGTTGCTGTCAGTGTTGCTGTCAGTGTTGCTGCCAGTGTTGCTGTCAGTGTTCTTGTAGTGTTATGAAAACGGTTATCTCTTGATCTAATAATTGTACCAGGGGTCACCGCCCCCCGCTCTCAGATCACCTCTAGGTTAAAGTAAAAAAAAATAATGAGAACTACAAACACATGTGCCGATCCTGCCAGAGTGTAAAACGTTTAACAGGATTCCGTTTGATACTTAGTGATCCACTAAACGATATGGAGGAAGGGCGGGGTCTAGGAAGGAAGGAAGGTAGGGGTCTAGGAAGGAATGTAGGGGTCTAAGAGGGAATGTAGGGTCTAAGGATGTAGCGTCTAAGAGGGAAAGTAGGAAATAAGAGGAACTAAAGAAGGTCTAAGAAGGAATGTAGGGTCTAAGGCGAATTAGGAGTCTATAAAGTTTAACAGGAATGTTTGATATTAGGATCATAAGGATATGGAGGAAGGGGATGTGGGGTCTGATGAGGGAATGTAGGGGTCTAGTGAGGAATGTAGGGGTCTAAGAGGGAATGTAGGGGTCTAAGAGGGAATGTAGGGGTCTAAGAGGGAATGTAGGGGTCTAAGAAGGAATGTAGGGGTCTAAGAGGGAATGTAGGGATCTATGAGGGAATGTAGGGATGTAAGAGGGAATGTAGGGGCCTGTGAGGGAATGTAGGGGTCTATGAGGGAATGTAGGGTCTATGAGGGAGTGTAGGGGTCTAATAGGGAATGTAGGGGTCTAATAGGGAATGTAGGGGTTTAAGAGGGAATGTAGGGGTCTAAGAGGGAATGTAGGGGGTCTAAGAGGGGATGTAGGGGTCTAAGAGGGGATGTAGGGGTCTAAGAGGGATGTAGGGGTCTAAGAGGGGATGTAGGGGTCTAAGAGGGATGTAGGGGTCTAAGAGGGAATGTAGGGGTCTAAGAGGGAATGTAGGGGTCTAAGAGGGAATGTAGGGGTCTAAGAGGGAATGTAGGGGTCTAAGAGGGATGTAGGGGTCTAAGAGGGAATTGGTAAGGATGTAGGGGTCTAAGAGGGGATGTAGGTGTCTAAGAGGGGATGTAGGTGTCTAAGAGGGGATGTAGGAGGTATTTAGTAAATAATAAAGGAAAGAAATTGGCACATTTTCTTCGACCACTTCCCTTTTCATTTACTCCTTCCTTTTCATTGCCCTTTCCCACCCACCTTCACGTCCGTTTTACGCCTGCCACACGCCCGTCTCACGCTCCTACGCCCACGCCTCTTGCGCCCATCCCTCACCTGTCTTACGTTCGTTTTCCTTCCCTCTCGTCCCCACACGCCCGTCTCACGCTCCCACACGCCTGTCTCACGCCAATCTCACGCCCACACGCCCACGCCCTCGTGTCAAGCGCATGGTTGTCCAACGTCAAGAAGTTTTTAGAAATATTGTTTTCTTGCCCGTTGGAATTTTATCAAAGTAATATTGTTGTCGGTGACCTGAAGAACACTCAAGGGTGTACCAGTTGGAAGCCAGAGGACCCTGGGTGCTGGTGGCCCAGGGGCGTGTGAAGGTCACTGTAGCCAAGGGGCGTGTGAAGGTCACTGTAGCCAAGAGGCGGGTGTAGGTCACTGTAGCCAAGGGGCGTGTGAAGGTCACTGTAGCCAAGAGGCGGGTGTAGGTCACCGTGGCCCTGGGGCGTGTGAAGGCCACTGTAGCCCAGGGGCATGGGAATGCCGTATTGGCCCCCCGGGGCCATTGCTGTGAAAGTGGTGTGTGTTAAATACATTGTTTCTTGACGACAACTGGGTGATTTGGTTAATGTCAGGCTGGATATTGCCAGTGGAGGACACTCTTAAATGTTCTAGTATTGAGGCCTGGTCTCAGACCGGGCCGCGGGGGCGTTGACCCCCGAAACCTTCTCAAGGTAAGCTCTCCAGGTAGAGGATTGTGCAGTGTTATGATTTGTGTACTCACCTAACTGTATTCGCCTAATTGTGGTTGCAGGGGGTCGATTCATAGCTCCTGGCGCCTCCACTGCTCGCTACTTGGTTCTCTCTCCTTGCTCCATGAGCATGGAGGGAAAGTTTGGATCGACTACTGTGTCTTGAGAAACTATACCTGAAGTTATTGGGTTGGGTGGAGAAGGTGTCAGAGGTTGTGGAGGGGGCATTTTGAGGAAGGTGGTTTGGGAGGTTGGGCACTAGGTTACATGAGGAACAATGGGGATAGATGGGGAGGCGTGTAGTGAAGACTTCAGATATTGTGATGAATGGTTTGAAAAACCGACAAGTTGAAGATTGAGACACTTATGCAGCATATGGGAATCTTTATTCAGGAAACGTTTCGCCACACAGTGGCTTCATCAGTCCAATACAAAGAGGAAGGCGTAAGGAGAGGAGGAGAATGAGGTAATCAGTCCCTCAACCTGGAGTCGATGTGTTCAGTACATCAATCTACAAGATTGATGGACTGAACACATCGACTCCAGGTTGAGGGACTGATTACCTCATTCTCCTCCTCTCCTTACGCCTTCCTCTTTGTATTGGACTGATGAAGCCACTGTGTGGCGAAACGTTTCCTGAATAAAGATTCCCTATGCTGCATAAGTGTCTCAATCTTCAACTTCAGATATTCCCCAGTAATCAAGGTGTGCTTGGAGGTTGATAAGACACATGTGCAACAGTTTGGTATCTATTCCGAAACGTTTCGCCTACACAGTAGGATTCTTCAGTGCTTTGAGCCGACGTATATAATTCTGGCACTGCCTCCACGGTCGCCCGCATCAGGAATTAGCTCCAGTATTTATCTACCTCGTTAATTACGGCTGTGCCGGCTCCTCCTTGAAGAGATTTTGGCATTAATTTGTAATGTCCACCAGAGTAATGACTGCGGCCAACCGCTGCAAGAACACTAATTTAAAAAATTTTTAGGGCAGTTTGGAAATTTAATTTTGTTTTCCATTTTTTTTTTGCGTGTGTGTGTGTGTCCGTCCGGGACCTGCCTGCCACCTTGTTCATCTTACAAGATGTCAATCACGCGATTTACCGTTGTATGATCCCCGCCTTTCACCTGACCTCTGTCAGCCTTCACCTCCACCTTCCTTTCCCCCTCCCACCTCCTCTCCCTTCCCCCGTTCTCCACCTGTCTCGGAGAGATCATGGCCGGCCAATTTCTCACCTTGGATATTTTTGTACTGTTGCATTGTGTTTTCCTGTGCTATATATTGTATTATATTTGAGGCAAGTTGACCTGATGGCCATGAGTAGGCCTTGCTGATAATTGATGATCATGACTTGACTTTTCTCTTTTCAGGTGGGTGAAGGCGCGGGTCAGGTCCTTCCAGACCTCCAGCACAATGTGGTCTCGGTCTTAAATCTCAAACAAGG